TTATATATATAATTTATATATATATTTATTAATAACTTAGAAAAAGATTTAGAAAAAGATATAAATAAACTTTATTTTTATCAAAAGTTAATTATATATTCTCCGACTCAGGGTGAACAAATACTAAATCACAGAAATTGTGCACATACAATTGATTATTCTTATATCACAATTGAAGCAGAAATAATTAACTGTAATATGAAAAAATATTGAAATTAAATATTATTATGTTTTTAATTATAATTATGTATGATACGATACAATCTACGTATTATAGTAATGCTTATAATATTACTTACATTTGTAAAATAACATTATTCTGTTTTTTGCAGGATGAAAAGAACCAAATTCTTACGACCAATGCGTGGTTGAAACTGGTGAGTAAAATCAACCTTTTTATTTGTTCTCTATAGTTGATTATTTTTTACAAATCAAAACTTTTTATATAAGTTATTTTAATATTTCAAAATACATTTAAAAAATGTTGAGAATAGGTACTATATATTAGACAACTCCAAAACTTTAAAATCTTGAAAACTGATTAAGCATTATTTATAATGATAATCATGAAAAAGTATTAGCGAACATAAAACGTATGAAAAAATGTTATTTGCATGAAACCTATTTATTTGCGATTTAATTTATTCGTTTAACTCTTGCTCAATAAATTTGGCAAAACTTTGTATCCTCGACGGAAAAGAAAAACATACAGTAATGGATGCCATCTATTACAAACGTCCATTACAATCGGTACGTTTGCACTTTTAATGATTATTAGATAAAAAAATATAAAAATATAAAAATTAAACTTGGTTGACAAAACAAACTAAGTTTTTGCAAAAAATACATTTTTTTCGATTATATATTACATATACTCGAATGGATTTACAAATGATAAATATAGTTCCATTCGTAGATTCTTATAATGTACATCTTGTAATTGTATATTATGTTGGAACAAATGACACGTTGAAAATGCGTTTGCGGTAATTCTCTCGGCGAAATAGCCAGTTAGCAGAAAATCAATAACTATTCCGGTTACTTTTCCATCGCCTGCGGTCTTTCCATTTATGAGGATGCGTTGTAATATCGCTGATAAAAAATACATCTGTCGTCGCGGCGCGCACGACAAGGCGAAAGTATGAGATGTAAAAGGTGCAGTAAAATTTTGAATAAGTATATCTAGTTGTATTCGGTAATTACATAAACGCAAATGTAAATCAGATAAAGCATGAGAGATTAGTAACGTTTTTGTCTTTTGCTATGAAAATTTTTGAAAGAAATTTTATTGGATTTCCGTCAGAGCTATTTGTCCAATATTTTTTATTTTTTTTATTTTTAATAATCTTTAGGAAACCAGGAAATTTATAAGATTAGAGAGATTATGTTGAAATTTTTTGTATTGCGTTAACTCGCAGCTGCTAAATTTTGTTATTTAAAATTTTTTAAATTAAAATTGTAAAGTTTAATTTTATTTTTAAAATGTTAACGTTAAGTAATCTAACAAAGTAGCCTTGATATAGTTTTATGCCTAATATAAAACGTAAATAAAATACGTTGCAACGCAGCAACGTAGCCATTTTATTCATATTAATTACAAAGACTATGTACAAACAGCAAAATTTTTGTTGACGTTCTAAAATTAAATTAAAAATTTATATTATATTCACGTATAAATAAGTTGTATACGGCAAATTTACAGATTTATTCGCTATTTATTATCGGTTGAATCGCATGAGCGAGCAATCAATAAATCAGAAACGCGAGAATGTGGCGGCTGCTATTGTCGCTTCGTCTTCTTATATGCATCGACTGTATCGAGCATCCGCGCTAGGCGACCGCTTCTTTTTTATCTCGCTAAGAAGGTGCTCCGTGTTTCCCTCGGGTGTAAAAAAAAACAAGGTGAGAGCAAAGCACGGGAATAAGAACGTGAGAATAGACGGGTAAAAGAGGAAGCTGTAGTGTAGGTAGGAGTACGATAGGGATGAGTTCGAGAAAATCGAGACAGCAGAAAGATGCACTCCGAGGCCACGATTCTTTCGCTATTTTTCTCTCCTTTCTCTTTCGCTTTTCTCATATCCTCGACAGCAAAATGTCAAGTATATGTTGCTCCTTGTCTTAATATCTTTTATAAGGGAACGATACGAACTGTTTACATGGTGTACGTCACTCAAATCTTCGGAAAATCAAAATTTGATGAGTCCAACGTCCCGAACGCAATGATATCTTCATAAATATATTTCATCCGTCGTCTCTTTCTTCTGCCGTAATATTTGGTCGTGTTGATGCGTCAAACCTTTTGCCCACGAGTAAATTATCTTTTATGCGGCTGGCGGACGGTAATTAATTATTTACTCTGCATTCAACGTCTACCCAACGAACACGAGATAATCCTGGACTTTTTTATCGCGAGCTTTTCGCAGTTTCGTTGATGGCTTCTGAAAAAGTCAGTACACATCCTGGCCATAATTAATTTGGGATTTCATGATACCATTCTTAGTGTATCTGCATCTCCCTGCCACTATAATTCTTATCCCGTTCGTATATCACGTGGTGTCGATATTATCTTCTGAGTTTATAGCCAATTTATTGTCTTGAAGAAATCGATTTCTGATGAAGAGAAACGAACTCCCTTTCACCTCTTCTTTCCACCTTGATGAATCTTTCATCATCATCTTCTTTTCAACTTCGTTCTCGATTCTTTATCTTCCCTCTTCTATTCATAGATTCTGATTGTATTTTTTTTACCATATTGCTCTTTTTGCTCGAGTTATTCTGCCGGTAAAGAACAGACAGTTGGAACAAAATCAGCAGGCAGCTGTGAGTTCTTCTCGGTAATATTGAGCCAAAAGAGAGAAAGCGCCCGTAAAGGACTTTTCATCGTTAATTCATTAACGCGAAGCTCTCGGCATTTACGGAAGTAAATCACCAATACTAATTCCAATTAGAATCTTAATCAACCCCAAATGCGGCAATATGCGAAATGCGTCTAGAAGAGAGTGAGCAATACGAATTTCAAAACGGTATTGTTAAAGCTTAAGTTAAAATGAGGACTTCATCCTCGTCTTATCAGTCAAGATAGGATCGTTACTTATCGCATAAACCGCCTTCAAGATAGTCAATCAAAACTTTCAAATTCGCTAAACTAAATGGAATTTTAAAGCAGTACTTGGTAACAACCTCACATATATTATGACATTTAACGTATTTAACAGTTATGCGATGATAAGACTGAGTACGGTTACCGCGTTATTATTGCTGATGAACATGAATATGTAATATGACAGCATCTTTAATGTATTAGGAAAATAACTGAAATATATATATGCACATATACAACATATATCAATTTTTTCGAGTCATGCTACCATTTGATTCGCTAAGTCATTATCTCAAGTATGTTCGCAGATCTGCAAGAAAACATGATGTTTCGCGTAGCACATCTCTTATAAAATTTGTTATGTATCAAGCCGGACTCTTTCATTTTGTTGAATAATTTATTGACAGATAGCCGATATGCAGCTGCGGTTTCGAAGAGAGGTTAATAATATAATGCACTTTACTCGCGCGAATTCATATTGGAGCAGCGAATGGATCGAGATAGTATTAATCGTTCCAAATCTACGCGACGAATAGGCCGTTACGAGGCCGTAAGAGAAGAGATGTTTCTTAATATAATACTCGTTTTGCAGATTTTAATATCGATTTATTATTACATTACGTCAATCATTTGAGATTGAAATTTATTTAAAAGATCATTTAATGCTTTATCTTAAAGATGATAAACATCTTCTAATTGTTAGCTGAATTTTTTATTAAAGCAGAATTTTCAATCATTTTCAAGAATATACTAATATTATTAATATTTTTCCAGAATATTATTATTATAATAATATTATTTTTTATATACAAATAAAATTGAAATTATTGCTTATTTAATATAATTTTATTAGCGGATTTTTTTATATAATATTAAATATTATAACAAAGTTTAAATTCGCTCACTGTAACTGGACATTGTATTTCTGTTAGTTATTAGTTTTTAATCTCTTTTTCTGATATCTTTTCTATTACACGTAACTGAGGAAGGTGACAATAATTTTGAAATGCAATATCCGCACGTATTATCTCGCGGGCGGGTCGCCAGGCGAGAGACACGAGAGAGCACTTTTCGTGCTCTCGGCGGGGCCGAGATATACAGTTGGGATTCGTCGAGCGGCGTCCTCGATTGCCGGGAATAACGCAGTTGCGACGCGGCGACAAAGTGTCCAAATAATTGCACGTGCGCATCCCCCGACTCGCGGGAACGAGATCAGCGACGATATCAGTTGCCTTTGCGTGCGAGCACAAAGGGTCGACTGAGACCCGACGACGAGGAGGGAAGGCGGAGGAGGAATCGAGGAGACTGTAACGTCATCACACGTAACGTCATCACGTACGAACATGTCGCTCACGTGTTGGCACGACGTAGCAGCGCTAAAATGTACGGAGTCGAGAACGTTGTCGCGACACTCGCGTTTCAGCGCGAGGAACGTCGCCGCTACATCATGCCTCTCGTTGCGCTGGCATTTTAGATCAACCGCTTCGTTGCGAGCAATCGTAGAAGCAGCTAGTTACGTCTCTACATCTCGTAGCGAGTGATTAATCCACATCCTTGAATATTTATCCACATTGTAAATTTATTTAAGCATTAGGACGGAGTGATACTTGACGCGTGTAATAAATGTAATGGCATTTAATGGCGTTCGGTGACTTTGACGATCAAAGTTTCTTTTTTGCGAGTCATCACATCATGAATTTTTTACCTGTTAAATTTCAGTTTGATTTGTCGCATGCTATTTCGTTATTATATTGACACTTTGTAGTTATGTTTGAATTATTTGATATTTCACTTGCACGCTGGCGCCAGATTTTTGAACGGATTCACGGAAAAATTACGGCCACGCCTTTTTGCAGCTGTCAGACCGAAGTACTTAGAAAATTGAGCGGATAATTCTTGAAGCGAAGTGCCCGGATAATATATTAGGGCAAGGCAAGGTAGAGAAGAGGGTTGCTCTCAAGATTAAATTAAAACTTGGATTACAATTCGAGAATGGAGATAGCGAGTTTGTTAGCATGATATTTTACGTTAGTCGATATTTTCTTAAATACCGCTTATCGTGAAAAACGCAGTTAAGCATCGTTATTCAAGAATTTAACGCTATTCTATTTGTATGATAAATGCGAGTAAATGCGATAATGTTTCCATGGCGAAATTAATAATAGTATTAATTAGCTTGTTACGTTTTTTGATAATAAATATAGTTGATAACAAACGGCTAACATTTTGATAGTTCACATATGCTATCGATTGTTTAGATTCACTCTCAAATTTCTT